ATGCCCAAATCACTTTGCACAATTGCATATAAAATATGGTTAGCGCTGTTACTGTGCTGTCAAATTTGACAGCCATTCTGTGCTCAGCAATATATCAAGCACCATCCAAATGCAACTATACAAATGTCACCTCTGCCTGTGGAACTTTATAAATGAAGCAATATTAATCAATTAAGGGACAGTGGAGTGGATGCAGAAGCAGCCAAGTCTACCTGAGGATTACAATAGGGAGTTCTGGGTGGGTAATCAAGTTTAAACTGCAGAACTGCCAAGGCACACGGATTCTCTGTATGATAAAGCGGATTTCCGGTCACACACTGAGGGAAATGGAGAAACTTTTGCTCCTGGACAGACAAGAGAAAATTTTGCTCTTACACCATTTATCTATTAGATGCTACTGTACCCTCTACCAAATCTTTTTACTTCTGCTCACACATATTTCTGTGACTAGGTATGTGGCAGATCATCTACACCTTCCCACTGTGAATTTCTGAAGATTGCATTTTCACATGAAATATCATGACATGGAAGGATACCCCTCTCCTAGGCTGTTTGGTAAGGGACAGTCCTGTCCAAGCCTTTCAAGCAGAAATTAAGACCCTCCAAACACGTGTGAATATAAAGGCTCACTAAGTACCATTCTAATTACCTATTTATCCAGTACCCAATAGACCAGAAGAGTAAAAATACATCTTGCCCCATTACATTTTATGTACCCGCTATGCTTAACGAAAGGATTTTCTTTCCAAATTACTTCTCTTGTCATACTACTCCTGCAGTATTAGGGGTTTCCTTTCACAGAGAAGAAGCAAGTACGTAGTATAATATTCTCCTTAGAGGGGATGCTTTTCAGAGGGGGCAGCGCATACCAAATTAGTTTCTTTCCACCCTTGCCTTCACACAGCGTACAGGATTATAAATTGTGTACTGCTCTAAAGGTGTCAGTGTTTTGTCATAAACTAGCCCCAAGGAAACAAGATAACAGGCCACCACTTATAACTGTTATTATTCAGAATGGCTGCCATCCTCCTTATCCTTGAAGGGGCCAAACCTCAACGTGGTCAGTATTTCCTCAAAGTTGTTGTCACATATAGATGCGTAGATTATCTTTGGCAGCATAAGCTGCTCTCAGGAGAAATGGCTGCAGCTCTGTGGTACCCACTCAATCTACACAAGGCTCTACACTGTAAAGATTGCAAAACTACATGTAGAAGGTGACAGAAACAGAGCACTAAAGAAGGTAGCTGCTTAATCAAGGTTTGCCTTTGGCATTGATAAAGCAGCCAGTCACTCAGACTGAGAGATTTTAAATGTGAATAAAACAACTATAGACACATATCTAGTTTTCTGTAGCACAGGCTGGTACAGAGGATGTGTCTGTTTGTGCTGGTGAATGGTTATTAGGGGTACCCTGAGAGACACAAGTCCTGTCATTAGCTCTTGTCAGCCAAATAATCAGTAAAGCCAGATCCAGTTCCAGTGCTCTCCCTTCCTCTCCTAGTGTCCTCATCTTTGGACTGGCACAAATAATTTTCTTCCTGCCTGGCAGACCAGTGCTTACCACTCCTGTTTAGGAAGTATAAAGGACCAGTGCTGGGAGTAGTAGGAAATAATAATGGAAGTGGAGAATAGTAGAGATTGAACAATAGCTCCCTACCCTAAAATAGAAGTCACTTTGTTGTGCAACTCAAGGAAAGGCAGAAAACCAGATCTTGCAAATCAGTCGTACCGCTTTAGGCCCTGCAGGAAAAACTCATCTTAAAACAGAAACAGCCGCTGCATCCCATGATTTCAGTCATGGAATCCAGCCTAAGGTCTGTAGGAGATCTCTAGGTCTGAACCTTCTACAGAATGCTCTTTACCATTTCTGAGTGCTTTGAAAGATTCTCTGCCTTGGGCTAGAAACATCAATGTTTTTCCTAATCTCTAGCCTCTTAGTGATAACTGATGTTTACTAACTAAGAGTAACGATTCTGTTTCAGGAACTGCTTTTGTTATACTTAAAGGAGAATACAGAGATAATTGCTTGGAGGCATGCAACAAATCACAGCAACTTCATATAATTCCTAAAATGTTTTGAGTTTTGGAGATGCTGGTATTTTAAGCAATATTTAAGGAATCAAAATACTCTGCTAAGCCACAGAAAGAGATTCTTTTAGGGATTAGACTTTCCCAGTAATAGACTGAAGGCCAGCAACACTTCTTTAAAAGTAACTGCTTCAAAATAGTTGGAGCAATTGATAGACAAGGAGAGATCTTGGTACTTCCTCTAAGGGAAAGTCACACCGAACTAGAGGCCAGTCAGCTTCACCTCAACACCTGGGAGAGTGACAAAGCAACTAATCTGGAAGCCATCTTAAGGCACATGAAGGACAAGGAAATCATCAGGAGTAGTCAGCATTGATTTACCGGGGGTAAATCCTGGGTGACAAAGCCAAGTGCAGTCTGTTTTGCCTGTGATAATAACTGGTGAGTGATCTCTCCTTGTTCTTATGTCTATCCATGAGCCTTTCACTCTATTTTCTCTCCCCTGTCCAGTTGAGGAGGGGAGTGATAGAGAGGCTTTGGTGGGCACCTGGCATCCAGCCAGGGTCAACCTACCACAAGTTCTTATTTCAGATAGACACCAGTTTGCTCTGAAAGCTCTCCTGTAAGTTCAGCAATTACCCCAAGGAAATACTGCCATAAGATGTCATTTTTCCCACATCTGCTCTGCTTCAGAGGATTCAATTTTTGTCCTTTAAGCAAAATCTACAAAAATATCCTATAAATTTCTCTAGATATTGTAGGTAGAAGATGAGATAAACTTGGCTGTTAGACCATCTGAGGAAAAAACCCCATATGAAACTTGCATGAATATCACAATCTGGTATTAACATCATCACCAAATGCAGATGCTAAATAGTGACTCACTGACTCCTAGCAATATGTAAACATACTCTATCTACCTATTGCGTAGTTAAAGTCCTGGAACTCAGTTAAGAGTAAACATTTTAAATTTGATTCAATTCCTTCATATAAAAGTGATCCTTAAGATTATTAATCTACTCACAATCCTGGTTTCCAGAGATACTAAAGTGCCTGTTGACTCTCTTAGATTTAAAACAATAATACTTAAAGCACATGGAAAAAAAATATATATAAAAAAACCCACCAAACCAAAACGAAAATAAACAAAACAGAACAAAACATAAATACTCACCCCCCCAAAATGTTTTTTTGAATAAAACACTTTCCCAAAAAATCCTATTATTTAGTTTCCTCCTCATGGCCTAGAATTTATCAATTAAACTTCTTAGCATGCTAGATTTAAATTGAACCAGAAAGATTATGGGGTTTAGACCTTGCTGTTAACGTGCTTCTAAAGCAGAGCATATATACTTCTGAATAAATTAAAGCAAAAAATATAAAAATTAAGGAAAATAGATACTAAAGTTTCAATAATCAAAATAGACTAAATCAATCCCATAGCTGAAGTCAGTTTGGTACACTGCATCTACATAAATGACCTTTGCATTTTATTAGTACTGAGACAGAAAACAGTCCCAGATCTGAAACAAATTCCATCAGATCTCCACGGCCAGCATCACGTTTATACTTTGGTATAAAAAAAAACACTGGCATCGCCCAAAGCTTACCTGTCATTCCCAGTTTGCTGCATGACACAACCAGCCACTCAGGGTGCACCCACTCCCACCAAACACTCCTTGAATCACTTTCAGCAAATGCCCCCTGACAGTATGGGGTTCAGGGAGCTTTGGCAGATTGAGCACAGACACTGTGGATCACAGAGTGATCACTGACTGCAAAAGAGGCATCTGGGGGACACACAGAAGGCTGCGGCTGCAGAGAGGTTTCAGAGCATGGATTCCTTGACCTCCTGACAGAGAGCCCCACTCATCCTTCAGTAATCAGGAACTTCTTCCAGTGACTGCAGAAGGAAACTCAGGTATAGAAATCTGTCTTCTGACAAAATATAAATCCTCCTGATGTAGCAGGAGGTAGATTTTAACACTTACAGTATCCCAGCTCATCAGGCTCTCTCAGGTACTTGCAATAAGTGACATGTCACAAAACATAGTACCTAACAAGCCATGTCAGCCTATCTCCATACTTAATTTTTTTCAAAGTACAAGAGACAGTACACATTTTGTCGATTTGCCTGCAATTTAACGTGTACTTTATATTATTTTGCCTTTAAAGAGGGCAAATGAGCAGTGGAGGAGAAAAATACCCCCTCCTTCCTTTTGTCAAGTGCCTCTTGCATAAGGCGCAAGGAGAGGCGCCATTTCCCCGAGAACAGCTGGGCATGCGTAGGGAAGAGAAGGGTTTTTTTTGGAAGGAGGTGGGAAGAGGAGCTCAGCTGCGCTCAATAGAAAGTGGGGCAGCCTGTAGGGTACCGTGAATGGTGCAGTAGGGAAGGGAGAGGAGCAGGAGTCCCCTCCTAGACGTTAGAGTCCTGAGAACTCACAGGGAACTATGTGCAGGGGGCTGAGGCCACGGAGGGTTCCTGAGGGGAAATGTGCCCAAAGTTGAAAGGCTGTGCTATAAGGATGCTGTGGATGGAGAGTTGTGTTTACAGTCTTCTCCCTTTTCTTTTTGCTTTTAATTAAAAGCATTCTGATTCTTAGCGTTGTAAATGGTAATTTTTCTAGTCTGTTTTTCAGGAAAACTTAACTTAATTGAGAAAGTTGCTTTAAGACCTTCACATAGTCTGGCTCACCACAGTGCGATTTTGAAGGGTCAGGTGCAGCTCTTTTTGGTTCAATTCTTGAGTCCGAGAGGAGAAAACAGTCTAATTGCTAAATACACCACTTTGTTGAGGAGTACATGTAGTGCAGGGAGCTCGATGTGAGCTGCTGTGCAGGCTCAGGGTTGAGCTCTGGGTGGCAGAAACACCAGGCAAGGGGCCGTGAACTGCTGACCCTTTACATGACAAAAGGCACGGGGACCTGTGGCCCAGCCAGGGGACCGCACACTCAGAGACACAGCGGGAGTTGATGACTCTGCCGAAAGACCCCGAGCTTTGGCGCACAGACTGTGAGGGTATAAAAGCCCGGAGATCCCTTTGTTCGCGGTCCCTCCTCGGAAACACGAGCTCCAGCTGCTTTTGTGTTGCTGCACCACGATTAACTTATTTTAAGGATCCAGACGTCTGGGACTCTGCTGTGGGAAACTCAGTGCTGAGGCGGTAAGGAAACCTTGTCTGACTGTGAGTGTGGGGTGTGCAGGGAGTGAAAGCGGGACACCCATCGGGTCGCTGGAGCCGCCCGATGTGAGGGGCCCCGGTCACAGCTCACGTGGTGGGACTGAGACTGTCAGAGTGGGTCCTGGATGGCTGAACGGGAGAGTTTCCATAACAACCCTATGAGTCTCAAAAAATTGCTATAGGATGGGGAATTTTACAGGCAGTGTTTGCAATGACACTAATTTCAAACGTCGTTTCAAGTAAGGCTACACTACCAGGAAGTTGAGGCGCTTTTTTCCCCTAAAAGAAGCCTACGAATTGGCTAGAATGGGCAGAGATCTTGGGCCATGGTGTTTGGCTTGTTTTCTAGAAAAGTACCGAAAAATTCTGTGAATCACTATATCCCAAGAACTGATTCTGTTTTTTATCACTTTAGGTGTTTGGCGTAGTTCTGAGTTGCTAGACGTGACTTTTGGCTAACAGTTTCAATTTGCATGGTAGCTGGGTGTGTTGCTTTCAACACAGCTGAACCGATCAGCTAATCACTTTCAGGAGAGCCTGCCCTGAAGGCATTTCATCTTGCGTTTATGGGTTAAAATAGCTTGAGCTCGCCAGATGGTTTCTTAATCAGGCATCCCCTTCACGCCTACACGAACCTACATTGCTGTTGAAACTTTGAGAGTCATCTTCAAGACTTGAGTCTGTCTGAATATTCCAGAACAGCCAGAACAGCACATTCAGGATAGGTTTTCATGGCTTGTAAGTAAGCCTGTAACAAGTGATCTATGTTTAGTATAATATTCAGTAGCATGGGAGGTTCAAATGGGAGAGTTAGCTAGCCACTGGAGAGAGAGAGAGACCCTTTAGCTATGTATTTCACTCCATACCAAACACAAACAAGCTACTACCGCTATAATTACAGGATTGGGTTTGGGGTTTTTTTTGTGTGTGTGTGTTTGGTTTTTTTATTCTAACGAATTTTTTTTTTTATTCCACTGTTCTGTGTTTGTATATGCATGTGTTTTTGAGCTACGAACAATGTTATTGCATGGTAGGCTTTAGTACTTCAGGCCAATCTAAGTCGGTCAGTGTCACACATGAAAAAGTCACAGATGTGACCAAACAAAAGTCCTGGTTTGTCACATTAGAAAGGATAGAATCACATCTCAGCAGCTTACTATTTTTGAATGCTTCTGCCTGTTTATGGATGGATGTCCATAGAATTTCAGTGTCAGAGAGACAGGGAAGAATTTCAGCATTTTTTCAACTTTTTAAGTAGAAACCTGTTAAAAATTGAGGAATCGAAAGAGTGTAGAGGCCTATGTTTAGATTTTGACTCCAGGGCACTGTGAATTGAGTTTATCTGATCTCCTCTCAGGTGGATGTCATATAGCTTAAAAGCTGCTCAGAAGTTTCTTTCTTTCTCCAAGGTAAGGATATCAATTAAGCATGGTACCATATATAAGATCACAAGTCCCAGATGCTTATGCTGTCATTCTGCTTTTGTATTGCTACATGAGATACAGTGAGAACAGAACAGTGGGTGATCATACAAACGTTGCCTGGTTCAATGAGGTATTCCACTCATCAGTCTTTAGCCATGAGTCTCAAGGTGTGTTACTGGTCCTTATGTGGATCATCGCTGCTGTAAGATCCAGAACGAGTTACCTTGATGATCTTTTGTGTCTCCCAGGTCTACAGAAGACAGCTGGGGAAACCGTTATGTTTGTTTGTTTGTTTTAATCCATAATATGGATATTTTAGATGCTGATACTTAACAGTACATACTTTAGTAATAATGAGAGTTTCTTGTCCTTCACTCCTTGTCAGTAGCCATGAGTGAACATTTCCTATGGCAGAACCAATAGCCTGACTGCTCTAAATCCAGATGCTTCAAAATGGGCTGAATACTTGAAAAGACAGTATGAAAACAGATTAGTTGCATCATCACTAAAAATAATCAATCAGAAACCCAGAGTCAACTTTCATCTGTGTATTCTTATATTGGATTCCATTAAAGAATATTGTTGTAAATATTTCAAAGCCTCAAATGCTCAAGATGATGTGGTGATGTGCTCATCCTGATGTGGTGAATCATGTTTATATCATTGTTGAGCTTGAGGTTTGCTGACAAGAATTTTGATCAAGGTCATTTAACTGCCTTCTGCAGGTCTTTTAGGATTTAATTTAGCAAGTAGACAGTATTAAAGTGCTAAATCTTGAACAACACATGCAATATTATTTTAACATCTTGCTAAAAAACAATGGTGAGAATTATAACCTTAGTGATGCAACTCAGTGTAGCAATACAGACAGCAGTCGTGTCCTAAGAGTTGTGCTACTTTTTATCTGTGAAATTGGAAAGAACTTTCATTTAGGGAATGGCATTACAGGCAATAAATGTGGTTATTGGTAATTATCAGCAATCCAGTGGTTTCCCTGTCTGACTTACCCTTAGGAAAGCAATTGCAGATGAATGATCATATAAATTATTGATGTCCTCGGCCCAGATTGTGAAGAGAATGGCCAAGATTATTATCTTGTTTGATCCAAGATAAAAGTTCTTTGAAAGTGAGAATCCATTGTGGTGGCTTATCTCAGGCTGGTAACTAAGTACCACAAAGCTGCTTGCTCACTCCCTCGTGGTTGAGGTAACAATAGTTTAATAATTGAAACAAAGTAAAACATAATGATATTAATTATAACCCCCTTAATGTTACATTATAATAATATTATAATTAATAATAAAACCCAAGGGGAAAACCCAGACAAACAAGTGATGCACAATACAATTCTCACCATCCAGTGACCAATGCTCACCCCATCCTCAAACAGTGGTTGGACCCATCCATCTAACTCCCCTCAGTTTATACCCTGAGCATGATGTTCTGTGGGGTGGAACATCCCTTTGGCCAGTTCAGGTCAGCTGTCCTCCCAGCTTCTTGTGCACCTCCTCATTTGCAGAGCGTGAGAAACTGAAAAGTCCTTGATGGAGGGTAAGCAGTACTTAGTGACATCCAAAACACTGGTTTGTTATCAACATTGTTCTCATACTAAATCCAAAACACTGTACTGTACCAGCTGCTAAGAAGAAAACGGACTCTATCTCAGCCAAAACCAGGTCACCCATGATACAGGTTGCCTCAGCTGAGTTCCTTGGTGTATCACGGAATTGCCACAGGAAGTTGTAGAAAACAGTAGAAAGCCTCTCTCCCATGAAACCAGTCACTCCACTGTTCTTGGATGTGAGGAGAAATTCGGAAGATACAGTTAGTGTGGCAAAACCAGCGTGTTTTCCCAGTCACTAATGTCCTTTAGCTGAGTAGTATTTTAGTGTAACAATTTGTGGCTTGCAGCCTTCTGCAGAAAATCTGCCTCTGTTTGTCAGTATAGGCTGTAATACGTAAGTCTTCTCAGGTAGCACCTAGTGGCTACAAACAGTTCTTTCTGTTGTCTCTCATTGCTTATAAGGATATAAGGCTACTAAATAACTTACAAAAAAGTCACGACCTTTTTATTGCTTGACAGAAATAGACTATAACAAACTGCACACAGAGTTTTTGTTATAAGGGAAATGGCTGTCAAAGGACAATGCTGCAGAGCAGCTTCTCAGCAGTCCATTACAAGTATATCAAATATGTCCTTTGTTGCCTATGCTTCCTTTCCATACAGTTTCAAATCCAGAACCAGCCCTTCAGCAGACTCTCTTGTCTGAATTCAGTAATCTTAAAAGTCTATTGAAAGCTCTGGAAAGAGGCTGTAGTCCTCAGCAATGCTCTTCTAGCAAACTGGCAGGCTTTTCCATAAGCTAACGTTATATTTCAGTAAGCTTACCTGAGAGCCATAATGCTCCTTGCTTGGCACACAGTGTGTGCAAGGCATTGACCTCAACCTTCCTTTTACATTTAATGGTGTTTAATAAACACCAGCTCTTTAAACAAGAGCTCCTCTGCGTGCATCTTCCTCACCCTGGTGAAGAATAAGAGATTGAACCAGTAGCTGGCAGATATGTAGTCTTGTTTTGCGATGCATTACTGGAAGAAAGCAAAATCAGAGGTGTGATACAGAAGAAGATAGGTGTAGCAGTGGTAATTAGTAGGAATGCAATATGATATTTGAAAGTCGATTTGTCTTGATCCTCAAAAGAATGGTGTGTGGAAAGCCCCCCTTTCTATATGCAGCCTGGCAGAAGCCTCTGAGAATTAAACTTCTTTGCACCTGTATTTGCAATTCTTGCAGGAGAAGAATGGATAACATAAAGAAGGTCCTTCCATTCTTTTCTGACTCTATATGAAACATCTGACATTGCAATGTCTGCATCTTATTGAAAAATCCAGAGGCTGACAAACCTAGAGTAACCAGAAACATTCACTTCCTCAGTGAAGGCAAGGAATACATGACATTTCCTGCACATTTATGTAGGCACCACTCATAGTTGTAGCAATTGGTCGGGGGGTTGTAGCAATTGGTGAGAGTGCATGTAGGCATCATGAACTCTAGCTTTTTGGGTAAGATCAATGAAACACTGTTAAATTGAATCTTACCTGGAAATATGTGGAAGATAGATAAAGATGAAAATAGCTAGCACTCCACTTTGCTTTTTTTTTTTTTTTTTTTTTTTTTTTTTTTTTTTTTTTTTTTTTTTTTTTTTTTTTTTTTTTTTTTTTTTTTTTTTTTTTTTTTTTTTTTTTTTTTTTTAATTGTCTTTACATTCTGGTACTTCATGAATATTCCACTGCTTTTGAGACTTGGAAAATAATGCCTTTAAAGGAAATGCAAGTTTTATCACAGACTTCAGCTACAGCCAGAATTCATGGGTGCATTAGTTTTATTTGATTAAAAATATGTAAACACAGGAGTAATTCAGCCTGCCAGATTCCCCACAGGCAATTTCAGCTTCTCATATCCTCAACAAGCAAGTATTCTGCTGGTACTCGGCTGAGAAATTAAGATAAGCACATGATATACAGCCCAGCAGTCACAGGCCTTGGAACAACTGTAAC